GTAAGATCAACAATGATGATGATGGGCTTTCGCCTAGGGCTCTTGCCTGGCGTAGGTGAGATCTGGGTTCCAGCCTTCACTCCAAGCTCACGTGTATATTTTACTAGTGACAAATTTGCACAGCACACATAAGCACCCCTTGAGGGAGCTGGAGACTTCCCAGGGAAAGTAGGATTTCAGGGGGAACACAGAACAGACAGGTATCTGAAGGGACACCCTGAATAATCAGATGAAGAGAGAAAAGATTCCTATTTGTTACCAATCAGGCCAAATCCTAGGCAGGGGTGAGGGAAGCACAAACTTGGATTGTGAGGCAAACATGCTGTGCTTGGTTAGGATGAAGAGAAGAGCAAAGGAAGCCAAAAGTTAGTGTAGCATGCCCAAGATCTTGGCTTCTCAATAGAGGACACTGAAGGGATCTGATAGCCAGAGTATTGCAGGATTCCACTCACACCTCCTAGGGCAAAGTAACCTGTTTTGTCAAAGGATTTCAGCAAAACTAGGTATCTGCTTATAGTATCTAGGCTGCTTGAAGAGGCACATCAGACCAGGGAGTTTCGGTTTTGATCAGTCTATAATTTCTACTTACAGTCAGGATACAACAAATGAAAATCAATTGTTATATCCCACAGGAAATGAAAGCCTGACTTTTTTTTTTTTTTTGAAGTAAGTCTTGTGTGTTATTCCTTTTTTTTTTTTAATGCAGGATCAAAACTCACATTCCCTACAGCTCTAAAAATAATGTTAAGAGGCTTCAAAATGCGAAGAGATCTTTATTTGTAGAAAGGTACTTCTGAAAGACAGTATTAACATGGTTTTATAAATTCATAGTTCAAAGAGATCCACGATAACATAAGCAATCAAAATCAAAACTCCTGATGCATAAAGTTTCTACTGCACTTCTGATTCTCCGTTAGATTTACATATATTTGTCCTGAAACAGAGACTACAGTTGCATTGCACTCTAGGTTAAGCAACAGAATACATTACCATGGCTGAATATACACATGGCACAACCTGTACAGCCCTTCCCTTGCATGGCCAATTCATATGTCATGCCACTTTGGACTTTTGCCTGTTAGTGTAACGATGTGAACAGTACCTGTCAGAAATCTAAGAGTTCTCCTCTCAATTACCCCTCAAAGCCTGTTTATTTTTATATGTTATCAAGTACTATTCCTATCGCTTGCCTGTTCCCACCCGTAACGACACAATACAATCTTCATCATCAAAATTTAAGGGAAGGCCAAGACCAGCATCCAGGAGCTGGAAAGATCTGTCCATAAGACGAGTACATAAAAGTTAAACTGGTGGAGGATCTCAGGAATAGAATCCTGCTGTAAGAAGGACATATGCATCTGGCTGATGCCCTGACCTGCTCTGGTCCCAAAACAACACTGCTAAAATCCTCTTCAGATCTCTGTGGACTCAGACACGTAAAATTTTTTATGTTGGTATGTGACAGTCACATTCATAAAGAAATAACCAAAACACTGTAGTGCACTTATAGTGATAGGGCAATAGTAGATAAGAGTGGGATCTCAAATGCTAATGTAAACAAAATGCTTGCCTTGGAATTAGCAGGTGAGATGCTGTAAAAAAGCCTCTTTACAGCACTGCACGTTAGCAAGGGCACTGCTGCTATCAGCCAGCTCTGACTCCAGCCATGTGCCATAAACCTTGATATTACCTTGCCTACCTCTCCCAAATACAGTGGTGAGCAGGAGGGTGGTAAGTAGCTCCAGGTTTAAGATCAGGGACCCTACTGCCATAATTCTGATGGTAATACCAGACAAAGGCAACATAAAATCCAAAAGGTCTCTTGCTCCTGAAAAGTAATGCTTGCTACTAAGCCTTTTTTGCTAGAAGGATGCCATATGCAGAGCGGAAGGTTGAGAGGATAAAAGAAAAGGAAGGAGAGTCACCTGAATTTAATCTTCTATTTTTCATACTCATCTACACTCCCAAATCTAATACCCAAGTCTGCAAGGTACAATAAACTACAGATTCCAAACTGTGAAATTTTGTTGGCTCTTCTGCCTGAACACTACATAATTACATATTACATGACTATTACACAGACAACAGAGAAGGTCAAAGATATACTATAGGCTGCTCCCATTTTCTCCTCACCACTTTGATGCAGAACATATGTAGCAACGAAACAGAAAGGAAAGAGAAACAATAACCACCAGAGCTTGAGAGACATAGGCACTCTTCAAGGATTCCACTACCTAGACAGAGGTAGAAACCAACTCTAAACATCAGGTGAGCAGGTAAGAACTTAAAAGAAGTCTGTTTGCTTACTTTGAGTGTTCAGATTAAATAGAAAACCCACACAGTCATAACCATGAAAGTACTCTTCAGATTAAATAGAAAACCCACACAGTCAAAACCATGAAAGTACTCTTTCGAAAGTACCCTTGAAAAGAGGAACCATGTTCCTTTACTTGTTTCATTACCCCCAGGAAAAAAGCCAAGGAGCACTTCATGTGCTCATTTGATCCATTAATTTTACTGTGGCCAAAGTTACTGAGTTAGAGATGCAGTCATCACATGATGGTATCTGCTCAGTTCTCAATCAGTGTTGTTCTCAGGAACTGGAAGGCAATGTCTTATATGGATTGAGGATCCCTTTGGGGTCTAACATGGCTTTGAAACGCTGCATTAGAAAGACTGCCTCCTTGGGTTTGCTATACTGAATGAAGCACTTTTTCTTGAAACCCAGTCCATGCTCTGCACTGATACTGCCGTTGCATCTTGCAGTCCACTCATACACAAATGGCTCAATGGCATCCAGCAGGGAATGACTATAGGATTCCGCTGTGATGTTCAAGTGCAAGTTTCCATCTCCTGGAAGAAAACATTGAGTTTCTCTCACAAACCTGTCTCTGCAATGGCGACTCACTACTGGCTCAGCCATGCACTCAAACAACAGTGCCTTTGTCAGGCTCCAAATTGTGTGTAGGACTAAGAACGGTCCTTCTACAAACACCAGGCTGCTTCTGTGCACAAATAATTCAAATAGGATCTTTTTGCATTTGTTCAGTACAAGTTTTGAGGAAGTCCTCTAAGTTAAGTAACTTACAAATTCCTCCTTTTGCGATTTTAAAACTCAAACAACTGCATTGCATTAATTACTTTTTCTGCACTGAGATGCCACACCAAGATTTCCCCAACAGTATTTCATAATGATCAGTAGATTTTAACATAGCCCCGCATTACTTCATCTCTCCCTATTATACTTGTGCAATGTTCTAAATGCACTGCAGCACTGGGTCAACAGAAACAAAGCAGAGCTTTTTTTTTTTCCTTTTGTTGCTTGTGCGTAATGGTCTTTGATTAACCACATAGTTATTGGGTATTCAGAAGACAAAACACACAAATATAAACAGAATTTATTCATTTTCACTCTGGCACCTCTTCCTGAACCCCAGCAAACTCTCACCATACATGGGCTAACTCTCAATATCAAGAGCTACATTCGAAAATCAGTAACAAAGGCAGATTTTATTATGCAGCCTCCTCTGTCTCTCTCAAATCACCTCAAACAAAGAATGCTGAAGAGCGTTCTGCTTTTATTAGCAGAGAAGCTCTGCTAAACAACCAATTTACCTGTCCCATTTAGCTGGAGCATGTAAAATCAAATTAGCTTCAAAGCACGTTGACAAACGTACAAGCCTTTCTCTGAATTATGTGTATCGCTTTCATTTAGGATGTAATGGTTCTGATAAAACTGATGTCAAATGTAACTACTCACTTTAGACAGGAAAGTGTTTAACCAAACGTGTCTATGTACATTAATCAAATTTACGTACAATTAAATAACCCACAGGAAGTATAGAACAAGAAGATACTAATGACCAACTCAATTACTGACTGACTACTAGCTATGCCATCTAATCACACTTGCCACACATATATGAAATACTGTCTGAATGCAATGAAATTCAAAACACGAAGATTCCTTGTGCATTCTCTTCTTTTGATAGTTCTCAGCTAACAAATACTATTTAGTCTCTGCCTCTCAGAGAAAAGCCCTCCAGAGCTACTGGACAGCTGCACAGCAAATGCACCTGGACTGCAAAGGAGAAACCAGCTCCTTTCCCAGCATCTGCACTTACCCAGATGGCCATAGCCCACCACATTTTTGGCACACTGGCCCAGTCGAGCCCTTGTGTCAGTCACGAGATCATACAGCTTCCCCACAGGGAGTGAGATGTCATATTTGTAAACATAACCATCATGAGTGAGGGCCTCTGTGATCCTCTCCCGCAGGCTCCACAGCATCTGAGGAATCAACGATCAAAGAAACACCAATGAACCAGGTACTTCTCAGGTTCCATGCCTTGTGGCACGGAGGGGAAAAGAATCTTCATTCTTTGTATATAACATCAACTCCCGATATCCCTTTGCTTCTTGAAAGCTTGTAGTAACATTTGTTCGGCAGCATCTACAGTGAAGCGCTACACCAGCTCTGTAAGTTTGACAGTACCCGAGAGAGAAAGAACATGCGTCATGCACGTGGGCAGATATTCTCTCCAAACCAGTTTTGAGTTTCCCAGGAAGCAGGGGGCATATGTCTACCCTGTTAACCTGCAAGGGTCGGTTTGGGAACCAGTGCTGGAAGAAGCATGGGCCAGTGTAAAAGACCCGTGTTCTCTTGGCAGACACAAATCACTGTTCTCCTGAGACACTACAGATGACAACCTGGCTGCTTATAACGAATTGTCTTTCACATTCCCTGAGACTGCAGTTTCTGGCTACAACGCACCATCACTCTGGCCTACAGGACTTTATTGTTCACTCTTGGCCTGACAGCTCATTCCTGACCTATAGTAGCTTCTGGTTTACATAGTTTCAGAGGGTTTAGGCCCTGTCCCCGACATTCCCAGAAGATATCATTCACTATTCTCATGCTTTTAAAATAGAAAATATTCACTGAAAACTCAAATACTCAGGCCTTCTGCTAAAAGTCGGCAGTGGGAAGCATTCTCCATTAACATCCTTACTCACCGCGCCAAATAAGCTATCAGGTCACTCAGGGACATTTATACCAAATGTCAAACAAATACCAAACTTCCCTATTAAAAATACAAATCAAAGCGGAGAATCATTCCAAACAGATCTGAGCTTGGGGAAATGACGACTTACCTTTATTTTCTTTTCATCTGTTGCCACAGTTCCATTGGTGACCAAACCAGAAGCCATAACTTGTTCTAGGAAACTGTTCAGTTTTTCTTCATCGTGGGTCGAATCAGAGCCTGAAGTTTCAATTAAAACATAAAAGGGGCTCCCTGAAAGTGAGGGAGAACAAAATGAGCATATGCTCTGTGGTAAAAGCACAGGAAACTAGTACAAGTTCGGGAGCTTTTCCCAAGCTTGGCACATTTAAGGAGGGGGCGCTACTGCCCGATTTGCTGAAAAGGATTTGAGCTCAAGTTGAAATCTTTTATGTGAAGGTCACTTACAAATTCTCTCTTCTACCTAACCATTACTCTTTAAAAAAAATAGTAGTTTCGTGGGAACTAGTAGAAGTAACAAGTCATGTTATTAAAGACTTCTATCAAATGTGTTTGGGATGGAGTACTGGGTACAAAAATTCTGAGGGATGCACACACACTTATTGACATATATATAAAACTAGGCTAAAACCCCTAAGAAATACAATGCCTCTCTCTACAGCAGAAATTACACTATCTGTGCCTTTCACCCAGACAGAGGTTATCAGTTCTGGTACCTGTTACTGGACTGGAGAGCTTAAGGTGTCTCTCGATCAATTCCATGCACTTATTATCCATGAACTCATATGCAGACAAGATCTCTCCCAGCATGGCTCTGCAGGTTGTAAATGTTTTCAGAACCTGAGTGAAACTCTGACACCCTTGAGACAGACCATAAAGAGGAATCAGGAACAAAAAAAAAACACCCCCCAAAAAACTTACAATATGTTTTGAAAAAGCCTATCTAGCTTCAAATCATCTTTCCCACTGCTAGCAAATGTAAATGACTACCCTACGTGCGTTTAAATCAAAAGTTCCTGTAATAGTTTGATTTCAGTTGGTTTTGAAGGTATCAGAGCGGAATAGCAGGAGCATATAGCAGTTGGCCTTTGCTGTGGTAAAAACTCTATGACAGTTTGCACCAAAATGCCTGCCCCATCCCCAGTTCGCAGAACAGGCAAGAAGACAACCCAAAAGGAGTTTGAATGTCATGATGAGAGTCTAGACCAATTCTGGTGTCCACTGCACATATCCCATAGGTTTGTCAGGGCTCAGAGCTAAACTCCTAGGAGGTGGTGAGGGTACTGTCTGCGCTCAAGGCCACATCTCTGATAAGAGCAAGGTGTTTGAGCGGCCCCAGCTGGCCTTGATGCTTTTCAGGAAAAGGTTGGAAGAGGTCTCAGTGGAGGTTCCTCCCAAAAACTTTGCTAAAAAGCCTCAGCAGGGGTTCTCTGACTTTTGCTCAGGAGCAGCTTGTAAGTAGCTGCACTGCAACCATGCCGGTGCCTGGGCATGTACCCTGTTGATCTGGACTCTGACCTGCAGACTTGACTTCCCAGCCCTGCCCTGTCACTATGGTCTTGCCTAGCGATCACTGGACTGCGGCTGCCCCTGCTTACTGTCACTGGATGTGTCCTGCTCACCTCACTTGGGTACTGTGGGATTGGGCCCTTGTCAGTCATGGCACTGCCCTTGCCTGACTGTTTGTTCTGCTAAGCTCCTGGCTCCCCTTCCCTTGTGGAGGAACCTGCCCTTGCAGGTATTTTATACATTTATACCACAGGTATAAAATACCTACAGAAGTGTTTTAATAGACAGCATGGTACTAATTCTCAGAAACAGACTCATGCCGATGATGAGACCAATGCTTCCTTTTCTCTATTCCCTTCCTAATCTCCCATTTCAAGGGTGAAATTATTAATAGTAGCTCATATGGCAGCCTCTTTTCTTGCTACAGACCTCAAATCAGCTTCTGTTTTCCTGACAGGGCCAGCACAGTCACTACTGGGTACCAACACATGGCTGGAGAGCAAATCTACCAAGGCGCCTACCGAGGAACGCCAGATTCACAGCCTTAGGTTTCTGAGGACAGAGTATGGAGACAGCAGTGATAACTCCCAAGGTCCCCTCAGATCCAATAAAAAGCTGCTTCAAATCATAGCCAGTGTTATCCTTGCGCAGGGATGCCAAGCAGTCCAGAACCGAGCCATCAGCCAGCACCTGCAAGAAAACAAGAAAACAAGGAGATCCAGTCAAAACAGCTACGTAGAAAGCTGCTGCGCTGAGCTTATCCGACATACTAAGCTGATGAAAAGTTGCTGCTAGCCTCCTCCTGCTGCAGGATGCAACAGCAGCTACTGCCTGTTCCCGCATTCTCTTCATCTCGTCCCCATCCCTAGATCTCTCCACTCTTCCTCCCCTCTGCTTGTCTTCCCCCAAATTTGTCTCCTTTTTGTTTAGACATGCTGTTTGCACATGTTCTGAAAGAATAAGTAATAACAGAAAATTGAGTTTACACCACTTTTCTTACCAACCACTGCTGACAAGATCAACCATTCTTTGAAGCCCTAGCTCCAGTCATTCAATGGAAATAAAGAGCACTTTTGAAACACTGAACATAGCTAACTGGAGTGAAGTCAGTCCTCCACCATTTGGGCCCTTAAAAATCAAGACCAAATGCCTCTAAGATATGTTGTTATTAAAGGCTGTTTTGACACTAGTGACTAATGTGAGAGAGAAAATTTCCCCCTTTTGAGTCTACACAATAAAACACCAAAGGAGGCTTTTGTTGCCTAGCCAACTTGTTTTCTATTAGCTCTTCTGCTCCCAATCCTAGAAATCTTTTTGATTCACCAGTCCCAGTCTCTACACACAGAAGCGCAGGCCTGATAGGGCTAAAGCAGGCTGAAGAACACTTCACGGGCACAAAAAGCTGTGGCAGTATGGAAGAATTCTACGACAAAACCAGCAGGCAAGCAAACTCAAAGTGGGTTACTCTGTTAAATGCTAGGTATTTAACAGATGCATCTTGGCAGGTCTGAAATTCTAAGTGAGAAGCCACTAAAGGAGAACTGCAGGGCAGATTTTGCTTAGTAGAGCATTCCAGAGATCCACCACTCCACAGAGGAACCAACCTCCTCCAGGTAACTTGTGATTACGAAATCTCTCCCTACCTTTTCATTTCTCTGGGTAAGAAAACCATCTAATATCACTTATATCAGTAAGGATAGAGCTGGAAGCTGTGGTATAACTAAAAGGTGCTATATTCATGAAGAAACTTGCTGACACAACTCAGAAGAGCTACACAAGAAACAGCTAAGAGTGGGAGCCTGGAGAGGATCTTCTCCGCATAATGGATAGCTAAGGGCTAGAACAGTGAAAATGGGATAACAGGGAGAGGTTCAGACATAGAAGGGAACTGCGAGGTACTCGCCTTACCACTTCCAGTCCTAGTACTGTCCCTCGGAGAGAGCCATATCTCAAGAGCCGTAAGCCTCCGGCATTTGTGGCCACATTACCACCAATATGACAGCTACCTTTTGCTCCCAAGTCAAGTGGCATGATAAAACCTTTTCCCTCCAGGTACTGGTTCAGGTTTTCTAAGACACAGCCAGCTTGGCACACAAGGATTCCTGAAACATAAACATAGTTAAAACTTGATGCCCAAGAAGAAGATGCCTCCTGAAGAGGCAGGATAGTACAAGCACGTGCAACCACCTGCTCTTCCTCCAAAGCTTTCCATGGTTCAATTTAAACCCAGAAGAACTCTGTGCACACTGTAGGGCTTTGTCCTACTCTTCCTCAAGCCTACGGGAGCTTGACCATTGACTTAACATTTGGTCATTTAGAACCCCGGACATGTAAAACGCTGACATTAAGTACATCTCTGCCTGTAATTCTCCCTCTCAGTGTTTTAAGGACCAAAATACTCAAACCAGCCTGGCTTCTCACCTTCCATATTCAAACAGCCTATAAACTTTACCCATCCCTCTCTTCCCTCTGCCACTGTAAAGTAGTGGTGCCTCCTTCACCACTGTCATTCTGTCCAATCTGTTAGTTTCTCATTTGGACCTGTAAAAGAACAGAACGCACATGGGTATTTCTCTTCTCTCTTTCTTCTTCTCTCTGCTCTCAGATGGATTTTTAGATCTGCTGCTGTTACCCCTTAAGAAGAGTAAATCAGTAGCAGAAATCTGGATTTAACAAATCTCTGACGCCCATTAAAATGCTGCTGGGCTGAACCTTGCTGATGATGCAGTTATTGACTTCCAGAAGGAAGGCTGGGTTAGAGTGAGAGCCTTATTTCTGTGCATAACATTTCTATGATACTTACCAGACACCTTGTCAAAGCTGATGATCTGGCTCATGAGGACTGTGGAGAGAATGACCTCGTCGAAGACAGGAACACTGCCTCCAACAAGGCCTGTGTTACCCCCTTGTGGGTTTACGGCCAGGTTCCTCTCATAGCAGTGCCTGGAAGGGAAGAGGTTTCCCAAAGTATTATGCTTTACAGGACCATGCTGCAGCCCATCAGAAGAGTTTCACCCCCTCGCATATTGCAGTTCTGCCATGCAATTTCTGCCTGAAAAAATCACAATTTATTGCTTATAAGCAAGCTATTAATGTAGCAGTCTCTGTCAGCAACTTGACTTCTTCAATGGGGTCTGACAGATTTGCAGTCATTTAAGACATTATTGCCCTCCCCAGCTGCTCTTCAAGAAATTAACGCCCTATGGGTAACAGCATGTGCATCTATGCCTAAACTGCTCCATCTGTCAGCCTGCCATATCAGTGCAAAGCGCCATCCATCAAATCCTCTCTGAACTCGCAGAAGTTCTTGTGCAATTGATTACACAGTGCTGCACTACACCAACAAGTATTTCAGAAGTCCTGAGATTTACTATACTCTATACTTCTGTTGTAACAGAGCTAGGACCAGGTTCATGCAGCTGTTAACTCTTTAGCCAAATGGTGACCTTGCATCTTGGTGCTCAGCTAGACCTGCTCTCACACTTCTCTAAACTAGAGAAGTGTTATTACTGATACAGTGGACAAAAAGATCAGCTCCTCAAACTGCCTGATTCTGGTATCAGGCCCAACATCTCTAGAGCAAGATTTTTTTTTTTTAAATTTCTCCTGATCTCCTTTGCTTTCCTCAGATGGAACATTCCTGAATCCTTCAACATAACCGCTCCCATTGAGCACTGGTACCGTGACTAATTTTGAAATTTTAGTAGAGCAGAAAAGTCATTAATGCTAAAATCACTCTCTTATTTCTCCCTCCCCCTCATGTCTTTCCCCTACTCAAAGTACTCTTGAGAACTTTTGAATCTTCTAATTAAAGCCATCAATGTGAACTTGGGAAGCCTGCTGTTGTCCATTCAGCCTTTGCAAGGACGTCTGGCCAGGAAACAAGAATTTCATTTGGTAAAACAAGTGAAAGTTCAGCCTTTGTTTCTGCCTGGTATTGACACGACAATCACATCAGAGCAGCCAGTGGGCTAGGAAGAGCACTGGGCCTAGGAAATAAAAGGCACAGGTTCAAGACCCTTTCTGCATTGAAAAGTGTCAGCTCCTTCTGTGAAATCATTTCTAGTTAGGAAGCTGTCATTTTAGCACAGTTTCTTATGGAAACTATGCAGCCATCCTGCTTGCCTCTGTATTTATCCAACAGTCTCCTATCAAACGGTTGGTGAACCTACTGGCCAACTTCAACCACAATCACAGTACCCTAGAGGCCTCAAAGGTAAATGATTTCTATGATGGTTCTGCACAATATAGATAAAAAACAGGGTACAAACAGCTCCAAAGACATGCGTTTGCTCTTCTTCTCACTGCAGTAAAGAGGCAGAGTGGTTTTTGTCCCTTCTGACAGTAAAAAGACAGTGATCAGTAAGCATGCAGATACTGCAGACCCACCAGCAAGCGCATACTTCTGGACTAACAATAGCATGCAGTGTTTCCTGTTCAGTGACTGGGTGGAACAAAAGGTAGGCAAGGAAACAGTGAGGAACCTAAGGAACTGCAGGGGGAATTCGGGATATAAAGATCAGAATGGAGAGCTGAAGTCATGGAAGTTCAACCACAAGACATATAGTTAACAAGAGGGCAGCTTCAGTAGTTACAGTGCTCATGGCAACTAGTTGTCTGAACATCTGCAAGTCTCCTTCAGCTGGCTGACCCTCCCAAATCAGACCAAAGTTTGTTCACTTCAAAGCCCAGAAAAAAAAGGTGCATATTACCTGAGAACCTGAGATACCTCTGCTGCTGTCTGTGGCTTCAACAACAGCTTACTACAGCCTGCAATGAAAGCAAGGGACTCTCAAGGCAAGTTGTAGGCTGTATTGAAATCAGAAAGAAAAAGGTAGCAAAGCATTACGTCTGAAGTAACAACACTCACAGAATCACAGAACGGTTAAGGTCAGAAGAGACCTTTAGTGGTCATCTAGTCCAACTGCCCCCCTGCTCAAGCAGGGTCACCTAGAGCAGGCTGCCCAGGACCCTGTGTAGATGGCTTCTGAATATCTCCAAGGATGGAGACTTCACACTCTCTCTGGGCAAACAGTACTCTGTTATCCTCACAGTTTTTCCTTAGGTTCAGACCAAACTGCCTGTGTTTCAGTTTGTACCCATTGCCTCTTGTCCTATCGCTGGGCACCACCGAAAAGAGTCTGGCCCCATCCTCTTTACACCTTCCCTTCAGATATTGAAATGCATTGATCAGATACAGTCCCAGCTCCCTCAGCCTTTCTTACATGAGAGATGCTCCAGTCCCTTCAGTATCTCAGCAGCCCTTCGCTGCACTCGCTCCAGTAGCTCCAAACCTCATATACTGGGGAGCCCAGAACAGACACAGCACTCCAGGGGTGGAGTACTCTCTCCACTATAAGCTAGAGTTACCTTAGTCTTTTCCTTTCAAACAAACATCTTCAATAGCAAGCTTTCTCTTAAACCACTGTAAAAACCTTTACATGTGTACATAAACTTGATTTCCAGTGGGGGGAGATGTTCTATATTCTTAAGAAATTTTTGACAAAAATGGAAAAAACGTATTTTCTGAGGTTCATTCAACAATTCAGAAACTGTTAACAGAACTCCTTTTCTTCAGGCAAACTCTAATTAATTAGCTAATGAAATTTAGATATTCTTTTATGAAAGTCTGCAAATTTCCAGAAACTAGGTATTTCTCATAGAATCATTTTCTATTAGGAAAAAATACTCTGAATGAGAAATTTTGATCCACTCTAATAACCGATTTAGCAGGATCTATAAAGACTTGCTCTGCTAAAAAGAGGGAAATTTTTGTTGGCGCACTTTTCATTCTGGTGACAGAAACGGGGACGGAGAAGAGGTTTTGTCAAAACCAAAAAAAAAAAAAAAAAAGCTAACTTACCTCGGACTGATTTAAGCCAGTCCACATTAAATGGTTTCAATTCTTCTGGATTTGTGATGACTCTACCTGGCATGATGCTTTCAAAGAAAGCTATGTCATCATTGGAAACGTGGGAGAAGGGTAGCCGCTGCACGCTGTAACGCTCACTGGTCAGCATGACTTCCTGAAAGCTGGGACAGGCTGGATGGAGTGCCCTGCTGCTCTGGGGACTCCCACCCCATGGCATCAGTGCTGATTTCTTCTGCTTAAGTGTCCACTGGGCAGGAGCTGTGCTCCACCATACCATGGTCCTCCTAGGAAAGTTCAGCAGCCACCTTCGCTGAGTCCAATGACTCCCAACAGACCGAAGGTGGACCACAGAGGAAATCACCATGATTACCCTAAAATGCAAACACAAGGCTAGCTCTCCTGTAAGTTCTTCTTCTCGCTCCCCAGGCAGCAGAGAGCAGCTGCCTGCTCTTGGGGTTTCCCCTTCCTCGAAGTAGCCCACGCGTAGTTTTCAGGTAGTTTGCAAGACTCTAGGAACGGGGCTTCTTATGTGCAAAAACCCCAAGAACAAGCATCTGGCCAGGCGCTACTGATGCAGCGGAACACCACCTGTCATAAGCCAAGCCCGGCCAAAGCGCTCGGCTCGGTAAGCGGTAACCGACGCCCT